ACATATCTAAGCATATATTTAACAAATAAATATAAAGTTGGTGTTTTAAAAAATATGTTCGAGTAAATCATAAGAAAAATGAAAACTGATTTGCAGATTGTATTGATTTTTTTATTTATAAAAATACTATTATTATTGTTTAATTTTACTAACATTAGATATGGCGTTTAATCGTCGACGAGTAACAAATTCTTCGAGGCAAAAAGATTCGACTCTTGTATAAACTCCAACTCATCAGAGCTAAGATATGATTTCTCTTCACCTGAGATATTTATACAATAATAAAAATAATATGTGAGGGTATGATTTTTTCAATAGTTAGTTGTAATATTTAAGTATTGATTAGTTCTTTCATATATTTTGCAAATATTATGTTTGTATACAAATGCAGTTTTAGTATTTAACAACAATCAAACAAACGTTTCAAATTGTTTTGTGCTTTTTAAAACTGATTCAGTTTAAATTTTTTTATTTTTCTAGAATTTATAGTGACATATAATTGTAAATGTAAAAATTATATTAAATAATAATAAAATTCTTATAATACTTTCTGAATATTATATATACTATATTTTATTTTCTCCTTACACAGTATAATTTTGCTAATACATATATATTTTAATTATATATTTCTTTTTTGACCTATTACAAATTAAACAAAATAGGTTTTAAAAACAAATATAAGTTATCTGATAATTAAAATTAAAATAAACTACAATCGAAGTTAACAAAATGCATGCACGACAAGTTCATTTGCGACTTCATTTTTTTGTGCAATTAATATTCGTATATTTTTGAAATAGTCAAAGTATGAATTTTATATTTTAAAAGAAAATAATGAAGTATAGTTTTGCTTCTTATAATTTTTAAATGACTCCTTAAAACAAAGCACGATAGTTTTACGGAAAACCAAAATTGTAAGAAAATAGTTTTATTTTTACTTCTACATAGTCATTTAGTCATCATATTTTATGTAATCTATTATGAATATATTAAAAAACCAAAATTATTATAATTTATATCTTCTGGTAATTTAAATTTGGTAATTTTAGTGTTATAGTGAAACCTCTATAAATTAATAATCATTATAAATTAATAAATGTTTTCGGTTTCGAGTTGGATCAGTAAATAATATTTTATTAGTTTATAAAGTCTTTTTCGATTTGAATTATTAGTGTTTATCAAAAGACAAAAATCAATATATTTAACAATGTAAAATTCATTCAGCAATTATCAAAATTCAAGTTCATAATTTGTTTTTGATTTATATTCCAAATTCATTATTATGATAATTGCTGAATAAATTTTACATTGTTAAAAATATTGATTTTTATCTTTTTATAAACACTAAGAATTCAAATCGAAAAAAAACTTTTATAAACTAATAAAATATTATTTAATGATTAATTTATTGATTAATTAATAATTCCATAGATTAATAAATTTTTGAAGTTTTAACATTATTAATTTATAAAAGTTTTACTATATAATCAATGTATTAGTGTTATAATTTTATAATTTATTTAATTTTAATCTAGCTAATCAAAACATATCATTTATTTTAGAAAATTGGTCATGTCATATTTTCAGGACATCAATTAAAAAGAACTAATTTTTACTACTCATCAGCTTTTTCATAAAATATGCTTATCAAATAATAGTTAATATATAAATATTATATTAAATAATAATTTAATTTTTATAGTGTTTTTTAAATATTATCTACAGTATATTTTATTTTCTCCTACACAATATAATTTTGCTAATACATATATATATATAAATATATATATATATATATCTTAAGTATATATTTACTTCTTGACCTATTACAAATCAATATATTTATCCTAAGAGGGGATAGATGGTTAGCCCGCATATAGAGATTTTAAAAACAAGTATAATTATCTAAGAATTGAAATTAAATTTGAACTGTAATCAAAGTTAACAAAATGCATGTACGACAACTCGCATGCGACTTCGACTTTTATGCAATTAATATTCATATATTTTTGAAAAAGTCTAAGTATGGCTTTTATGTGTTAAAATAAATAACAAAGTATAGTTTCGCTTCTTTGAATTTTTAAATGACTTCATAAAACAAAGCACGAGAGTTTTACGGAAAACCATACTATAGAAAAATAGTTTTATTTTTACTTCTACTTTGTCATCATATTTTATGCAATCTATGATGAACATTAAAAATTCAAATAAAAAATATCTTTATAAACTAATAAAATATTGTTTGATTATTAATTTATCAATTAATAAATAATTATATAAATTAATAAAAATTTGGAGTCTCAACATTATTAATTTATAGAAGTTTACTATATAATCAATGTATTAATGTTATAATTTCATAATTTATTTAATTTTAATTCAGCCAATCAAAATATTTCGTTTGTTTTAGAAAATTGGCCATGTCATATTTCAATGTCATCATTAAAAAGCACTGATTTTTACTCTCCTTCTGACACATCAGCTTTTTCATTGAACATGCTTGTCAAATACTCCTATAGTTAATATTCTTATCAAAATCTAACAAACCTAGTAGATGTATCTATAAATACGCAATTTATTGAAGAATACAAAAATAGTAACTCGCGTTATTTCATTGTTCTTTATTTTTTTTGAAAGAAATATCTGTATAAGCGTATAAAAATAGAAAAACATATAAAAATTTTACTTGGTCAGGATGCCGATGGGGAAGTTTTGTCCCAAAAACGAAGATGAATAAAAAATATTGCTCATTCTGAGGATGGATTAAAATTTAATAAATTGTATAAAATATTTATCCTAAAATTAAAATTTTTATTTCTACAAACATTTTATACAAAAAAACAAAACATCTGAAAAAAAATTCTTGATTTCAAGGCGGGCTAGAGAGTTTGCTTCAAACCAAAAAAAAAAAAAAGAAGAACTAATAACAAAGAAAAAGAAGAATAGAAAAGAGAAAAAGATATAGAACAAGAACAACAGAGAAGGAGAAGGAGCATAGAAGAAAAACAATGGAGAAGGAACATAGAAGGAGAAAGAAGAACAGAAAAGGAGAAAAAGACAAAGAAACAAAAAAATATTAATAACACGCAACATATTTAAATCAGTGATACATCACTTATACAGTTTTATTTTTAACTTCAAATTTTCAGACTTACAAAATCTAATTTTAATTCTCATTACATAGAATTATTCAATAATTCATATAATTATTAAAAACATATTTTAAATCTCATATCTTATATCATATTTTGTGTATTTGATAATTTAATCTTTAAAAAAATATAAAGGGTGCGCAGCTAAAGAATCTAATTCTGATTTTAAAAATAACTTTGGTACAAGAATATATGAACCCAAAGCACAAAAACACTATCCCGCTTGCACTACCTCAAACACCCTAAGACAGCATTTGGAAATTTAAAGAATATTTGTTTCTGCCAAAGAAGGTTTCAACCCGGTACACAGCAAAACCAACCCCTTGCCCTGCTATTAGCCCACCGCATTTTGATTAATTATCGTATTTTGAAACTTGGAACACATGAAATCATTGGGTTCACTTTAAACATTTTGATATGGTAATGTAAATTTTTGGAGGGTGTAACAGACCTCCATCTTTTATAAACTGTTTGATGCTTTCATTTACATAAGTAAGCAGAATAGACCGTACAAATCTTGTTTTAATTGTATGTTTGTACTTTGTTATTACTTCACATGAACCACACACGTATTATTGGGTCATATATAACTAAAACTTAGTATGCATTTTCTCGTGAGATTTCATTTACAATTTTAAATATAAGTGTGTTAAAAACAAATTGGGTTACTAAGGTGTTATTTCATGCTTGAAAGTGTATAATCACATTCACTTCCGGTTTTAAAGTTGTGTTCTGTCATTTTAAATGACTTCATTTTCTTAATTAAGGTTTTTTCATGTTTCTTTCTTTTTTCCAAGTTTTCATCACGTAACTTCCACTAACACGTTGTTTACTTTAAGGTGACTGATAACTAAACTTATTTTGATTTTGCAAAATATCTCATTGATCGTTTGTAGAAACAAGCACAGCTAGGGATATGAAATGAAACACTAAAAGCGATTAGATTAATCATTGGAGCTTACGTTTGAATGACAAATAATCATTTAAAATGGTCAGGGTAACAATTGGGTGTTCAACGATGCCAATCCAGATGACAATTTGATACCACCGAACACCTATTATCAGTTATGAAACTGATTTTTAGAGTATAACATATGACGAAATAAGAAGTAAATTAGTTAATTATTTTATAATATGTAGAAAACAGTTAGCTATATTTATCTTGTGCAATATGGAAAATTTTATTATTAGCAATCTAAGTTTATAATAGATTAATTTTAGTAAGATTAAAATTTTGATATGAGAAAAAATATTTTGCAAAATCAAAATAAGTTTATCTTTATCTTTAATATTAAAATCAAAATATTTTTCAAAATTAAAACAAAAATATTTTAAAATTAACTTTATCTTTTACCCCTATAATATTTTCCAAAATATCTTATTGGTAACAGTCAATAAGGAAAACATTATTAATGTTTTATATAACAGTATTTAGTTAGTTTTAAAATTGGATAAGTGGAATATATATAGTTAGCTATATTTATTTTGTGAAATATGGAATATATTATTAACAATCTGCATTATGGAAAAGTCTAAATTATAGGTTTTAATAATGTTTTAAAAATGGACATAAAGAAATATAAAGATAGGAAGATTGTATTTTATACTTATTGATCTGCAATTCCTTAGTAAAATGTATATAACTAAATTTTTGTGTGTTATGTAATTTTTTTAAAAAAAAAAGCTGATTCCCACAATCAAGAGCCTCTATATAAGGATATTCTCTTTGGGTTTTTTTTTTAGTTGTAACAAGAAAATATGAAGAGGCTTAACAATGGCTTTTTCCACTTTGTGTTTTTTCTTATCTCTCTTCTTCTTCTTATTCTTCTGGGTGCAGGGCTTTGCATGGATCCTTTCTCCTACAATCAACCTCTAAAATCAGAGGTACAAATGTATAAATCTACAAATTCATTTCTTTTATTACAAAAACTAAAAATACAATGTCTTAACCTCTCTAAAACCCCGAAACCCACTAGTGCCTCATGGAGCCTCCACAAACAAACAGTACTGGAAAAGAATTCCAAGAATTGAAGATCAAAGAAGATGTAGGAAACAGAAAAGTACTAGAAAGAGTTTATCTTCTAAAAGGGAACATACACAGCATATCTGGTAACAAAATGTTGGTTTTGTTGTTTCTTGTGTAGTAAGTTTCGATTAAATATTCTTGAACTGGTGTGATCCAGCTTGGGTAAAGTTGAGAAATGAGTATCAAAGAACAGTCAGAATAACTTTGAGAGGAAAGAATATCAGAAACCTTCATGGAGGTCAAGTTATGGCGAGAAAAGGATGCTGGTCTTTGCTTAAAGGCAGTTTCATCGTCGATGTCTCGGTCTTTGTCGACATTTTCTTCAAGGTAAGACAGAACATAGTTGTGTATGTTTCTTTGTAGATTCCCAGCACTAATGCAAGAATTTACGCAAAGCAGAGCGATGGCTTAGCTGACGCAGAGATATCTGTACAAAATGTGAGGCTGAAACGGTTCAATAAAACTCAGTGGAGGCTACAACAAGACCAAGCCATTGAAAAAGTAATACAGAAAAAAACTCTATAAGTTTATAATGTTTGAACAGTAAATTCTTTTTATTTCAAGTAATACAACATATATATATATCTCATATGCTTATATACTCATTAAATTCAACATACTTGGCTTTCGTGACTTTTTAATGTTTACTAAAATCATTGACTTTTTGGTTAGAAGTTTATTTTGTTTATCGATCGTATGTAGTAGATGTACTATATTGTTTTCCTAAAATTTTTGAAAACAAAAGAAAAAATAGAAGTGAATTTTGTTTTAATCATAATTTTTTTTGGTTATATTTATATAATAAATATTTATATATAAATTATTAATCTATAAAATTTTGTTTCACATATATTAAATTTTGTGTGTTTGCATTTATATACTGTGTAAATATAAATGCAAACACACAAAAATTAGCGTTTAATCTAAACCTTAACTATAAAACTCTTTCAAAGACGCAGATTCGGAAGAACAAAGTGAGATTTGAGTTGAGTTTTAAGAACAAAACCGCAGTAAAAGGATCATTAATTTCCATAGAACAGACCAAACCGTCTTTCCTCCTTGGTTGTGCTATGAACTACAGAATCTTGGAGAGTGATAGCTAGAGAATGGTTCGTGTCGCGGTTTAGACTAACTTCCTTCACCAATGAAATGAAATGGTATACAAATGAGCCAGTGAGAGGCCAAGAGAACTATGATCAGGCTGATTCAATTATGAAGATTGCGGAGGAAAACAAGATTCTAGTCAAAGGACATACGGTCTTGTGGGATAACAAGAATTGGCAGCCAAGTTGGGTAAAGATGATAGAGGATCCTGAAGAACTCAAGAATGTGACACTCAACAGGATCAACTCGGTTATGAATAGATATAAAGGGAGATTGATAGGATGGGATGTGATGAATGAGAATGTGCATTTCAGATACTTTGAGGACATGCTTGGTGTAAACGCTTCAGCTATGATCTATTCCTTGGCCTCCAAGCTTGATCCTGATTTACCGTTGTTCGTGAATGAGTTCAACACAATTGAGTATGCTCGAGAAGGAGTTGGGAGCTCAATTAACGTGAAGAGGAAGATGGAAGAGATTGTTTTATACCCTGGAAACACAAATATCAAAGGAGGAATTGGGGCACAAGCTCACTTTGCTCCGGCACAGCCTAACTTGGTTTATATGAGATCCGCATTAGATACGTTAGGCTATTCGGGTTTTCCGGTTTGGCTCACGGAGGTTGATATGCCCAAATGCCCTGATCAGGTTTATACATATGCAATGCACTCTAAATATGATTATTCGGTTCGGTTCGGAATTTTTGGTTTTTGGGTTTTTTGGTTCTAAAAATAGTCATATTCGAGATCAAATTATTAATCAGTTTGGTTCAGTTTGGTTAAAGTTTTGGGTTTCTGGGATTATAGAAAATCAATCATATTTGGAATCAAAATATAATTTAGTTTGGGTTTATACTATGATAGAAAAACCCAAAACTTAAAACCGAAACCCAAAACCGAAATATAAAAATAATTAACTGATTTTAGTTAAAATTGTAAATTTTAATATATTTAACTATATATATAATTCTATATAATTAAATAATAATGTATTAGTTCTTTAACAAGTTTTAATTTCTTGGTTTGGTTTCAAAAGGTCGGAATTGGTTCGGTTCAGGATGGGGTAATTAAATTTACAAATTTAGATTCAGAAATTTTGGTTTGGATTCAATTTTTTGGTTCGGTACGAGAATTTTGACCCAGCACTACTTTGAACTTTGAACTTTGAGAGGATAACTTACACAACAAGCAATCTATTGATCTATTTCTGTGATAGGCTACATACATGGAGGAGATACTGAGGGAAGCTTATTCGCACCCTGCGGTCAAAGGCATAATATTATATGCAGGGCCTGAGGTTTCTGGTTTCAACAAGTTAACGCTTGCCGACAAAGATTTCAAGAACACAGAAACAGGGGATCTCATTGACAAGTTGCTCAAAGAGTGGCAACAAGAACCTGAAGAGATTTCTATCCAGTACGATGAACATAATGATGAAGAAGAAGAAGGTGGTCAAATAATTGGGTTTTCACCAGAGATTTCACTGCTCCATGGACATTACACAGTGACTGTAACTAATCCATCGATGAAGAATTTTTCCACCAGCTTCAGCTTCGAGGTAACTAAAGAGATGGGTCATCTTCAAGTGGCTCAACTTGAAATTGATGCTTAAAAAACCTAACCATATCAGTATCATTATATTGTGAATCATCCCATGAGGAATTATACAAAAGATACTAAAGGTTTATTGATATTTGGTATTTACCAAGTATTATTACAATAACTAGGGTTTATTGTGGTTGCTCTCAAGGAGCTATGGTTCATTTGAAAGGGGCATGCATATTGTTTTGTGGGAGAAGCTCCATCATCAAACTCCTCAAGTTATTGTACTTCCACAATTATAATCAATAATATGTCAGTTTCAATGTTCTGTATTATAAGAATGCTGAACAACAACTCAATAAAGGTTAAATTCTTACGAATCTAAACTACTAAACCAACCTAAATGAAGCTTTGAAACTGATGAAAGGTTTCTCAATAAACCATATGCACAAACCAACTCACATTGCCACTAGAGATTTGAAGAATGAGTTTTCATTACTGTTGTTCTTTCATTATATCAGCTGCTAGAATCACAAGCTCCACCATCTCAAACCCTGCAGCAGAAACAGAATCCGTTTTCTCACAGCTTGATTCTTCGCCATCAGCAACTGGTTCAATGTCTGATTCAGCAGACCAGCTAATGGGTATGGAGATGCCAAGTGCAGTCTTTAAATGGGTTGCTTCCACAAGGATGTTGGCAATTGCTACTTCGCGTCTTCTCGCAGCTGTTTCAGTGTCATTCGATTCCTTTACCTGTAAATAGGAACAACTAAAACTTGACCTAACAAGAAGAAACCAAAAGCTTAGTGCATATTACTTCTAGTGTTCTGAATTAACCTTCAAGAGTGCTAGACGAAGCCTGCGGATTGAAGTAATTAAGTGTCCCATGCTTTCCAGGCTCTCTTTTAGAGTTGCGTATTCTACTTTCATTCTACCAAAACTGATTGATCGCAAATATGATCAGACAAAAGAGACCAGACCACAAAAGGAAAATCTTTGTCAATGTAAAAATGTAATTTGACAAACCTGGCATAATCAATGTTACCGGCACAATCTGCTTCAGTTTTCGAGTGACCTCCTTCTCTTGAACTTGGGTCAATCCAACGATTTATGTAAGACTTCTTCCACATATTCTTTAGTCTTCCCTCTTTCTCATTGCTGATAACTATTCTGCCACTACTTTCCGTTGTCTCTTCCTCCCTTGTACCACTCATTTTGCTGGCAAGGATATCATATTTTCAAAGGAATGTATCATTTATCATAAACTCAGAACCCAAATGTGACATATATACAGTTGATTTTCTGGCTCTATTATCATCCTTAAGATATGTCATTCGCATGGCAGGTACGAAGAATACAGTATTACAAAAACATATCACTGACTTTGAAACAGAAGACAGAGGGAATATGGTTTCAAAAGCCTGCCTAGACCATTATGAGGACGTGCAATATCTAGCCTTCTATATCATCAACATTTCAGGTTGTCTACATTGTTGGTAACTATGTACTAAAGTGCACATATTACCATATATTTCAAGTAAAGGAAACAGCCTAAGACGACAGAGTGATAAAGAGAGTAGCAGCGTATTTAGAACATGTAATAACCAGCAAAGCAAACTTCATTCAAAGAAAACTAGAACAACTCTGATTGAAAAATTATGAGTAAAGGATGGTATCGTACTCTTTTAGCGATTGATATTCCTGTCGTACTCGTGCTAACTCCAGAAGGGTTCTCACCTTTTCGTTGGTAACCTAAAAAAATATTCAAGATGATTCAGAACAGGTCCTCGGATCAAACAGGTCAATTAGTTTCATCTCAACAGCTTGAAACTATTTAAATGTAGGAAAAAAAAAAGAAACCTGCAAGACATTCCTTTGAAGCTCATCTACTTTCTGCTGGAGAGCTGCATTGACATTTCCTTCATTTAAATGCCTCTCTTCCTGCTGTGATAAAAGTAAAAGTGCTCCAACCTAACAAGAACATCCGAGAAGATATTAATACATACACATTATGACATCAAGAATAAATGATGCATCATACTCCGACTGTCTACATAGGAACAATAAGACACCAAGGATTGTTTCTTCAATGTAGCATTGCAGACTAATCAATCGTCACAATACATGAGATACAATGCTGTTGTGAATCCTCTTCACTAGTGTATCATGGGTCAGGATAAAAATTCATTTCTTGCTTTTATCACCAAGAAATAAGAAATACCTTCTCTTCTAATGCTTGTGCAAAGGCTTCAGATGCATCAGCTCCACTTTCAGCCGTGAATTTGGCGAAGTTAGGTTCCTCAAGCTGCATTCAGAAGAGAAACGCTCTTACAAATATCATGACAAATTAATAATTATGCCTTCCTAATAAAAACAAAAACACAATGCCATACAATGCAGACCAAAAGAGAAAAAAAATGTTGAAGCAAAATCTTCCAGCAATCAAACCTTAGTTACTTGGCAAGATTCGACAACTGTGGTTGTATGCACATCCCGACATTCAGATTCATCTGGCTTCAAATCATGTTTCAATGGCACTACATTCTGTATGTCCAACGAATGAAGCTTAATTTTTTCTTCTAGATCTTTGGAAATCGATTTGATGTATAATCCTTCCTCATTAAGTAAATTAATGATGTAGGCCCTCAGTTGAGAATGATGATGGCGCATATCTGTAATGCCATTAACAATCTGCCCATCTGCAACAATCTGTATGCAAGTTAATAGTGACATTTTCAAAGCGTAAGAGGAACAATCCTACATTTTAATATTTCTAATGCATGAAGTACCCACATTCTTCTTTTCCAACGCACGAACCCTCTTCTTCAAATGATTCTCAATTTCTAAGCCCTGAGTACCAAATATGAGCAGTTAGTGAATGCTCCATCTAAATTCATAATATTTGAAGATAAACAGATGAGGAAAGAAAGGATACATACCACTCGTAGTTTACTCTGAAGATTATCCACAGTGTTCTTAACCTTTCCCAGCTCTCCTTCAAGTGCAGCCTGTCTAAAAAGAGTTGTTCAAATAGCAGATAGAAACAACAGATCACCGTAGTAATCTGACACGTAATGCTTTGTGCAATAACCATGTTAATACTAGAAATGAACTATTTTTCCTAGTTTTCTTAATTCCAACTATGTTTTTCCATGGTTGCCGGAAAAAGAATAGGAGACACAGAATTTGTAGCTACATGATGCGATTGAAGTCCGAGATGTTTGATCATTAATAAAAATGGCCCATTTGATTGTCTCTGCCTTCAAATGCAGTATCATGGTTCTCGTTGTGTTTCACATCCAAGAACGAAAAGTCTCTCCTGATTTATAAATTCAGTAGAACAAATATTGAATAATACCCATAGAAGTTTGATAAAAACACTAACTTTATTCTCAAACTAGACAACCCAGACTCGTGCAAGTTTGGTAAACGCTAACTTTTATATCCCTGCTAAGTACGATTTTTGTCGTAGTTCTGACGTTTACTATCTGTACTCTATGGCAACAATACCATTAAATGTAACAACAATTAACAATCCAAATTTTTTTCCAGAAAATTCATTTTGCTCAAATCCGGAGGTTACTAGTCAATAGGCAAAAAAAATCTATTAGGACTAACTTCACCAGCCAATGGTGAATAGCCAACGACACATAAGTAGCTTATCTTTGAGTTAGTATCCAAAAAAAAAGAGTATTGAAGATTTTTTTCAGAAACTTACTACATAATCTGATGTTGAAGGATCATTGAAAGTCCATGATTCTTTAGGATCATCCAATAAACTTGCAGACTTATCATGCAAACTCATTTCAAGGGACTCGCAGAGCGAATCTTTACGAATATCATAGAACTTCTCAATCACCTGAACAGAAAGAGAGAATAGAAAGGTCAAATAAAACACCGAAGAATTTTAGTCACTGAAATCATAAAGATACGAAATAACATGATAGACACTTAGGGATGAATTATGTTACGACGAGAATGGAAAATCTACCTCTGCATATGTTCTAGTCTGTTCTTCAAGTTTCGCCAAGTCAGCTTGCAAACTGTCATTTAGTCTCTTCTGAACAAGACAGTCTGAGCTGAGTTCTTCCAACCTGTCTTACCATCACCAGGGAGAAAACAAGGAAGGGGGAAAGTTATAAGTAACATAAGGCTAGGAGTAAGCACAGTGCAAGTTGTAGTTTTGTCCAGTTTTAGACACATGGCTTAGGTAATAACTGCTATATCTTGTTACATTCTTAAGGGCGGCAAGTTTTCATAAAACACTCAAAGAACAAGGCTTCTTAGAGAGATTCAAATCAGTAGATGCAGCTACAGAGTCAGAACATCGCTTTTTCTATGGAAAAGGAACAGGATCATAATTACCGCGTCTCAATTTCACCAAGTTTCTGAGACATTACTTCAGCGTTGTCTTTAGCTTTCTCAGCCTAGTCAAAGTCAGGAGAACATCAAAATGGTATGTTGAAAAAGAATACATTCTTACAATAAAATTTGCCTCTTTGGAGATGAAATTCTCTCATACCTCCATTACTGATTTATCCCTTTCAGAAAAAGCAGCTGCCACAGAACTCTGGAAAAATCTAAGCTGCTTCTCACCTTCCAAGTTCTGATACCGAAAGAATGCATCAGAATATTTACATGTTAGGATGATATGTTCTACAAAATAAATCTGATTAAAACTTGGTATGGAATGAGAGATACCTTAGCGACTTCTCCAGCATGTAATTCTGCTAACTGAGCCTGTAGATACAGCTTATAAGCATTTGCTTCTGAACATTCTTACACTCCAAAGCATTTTTTTCAAGAAACTTTAAAGATACTCACTTTTACACGGTAAGCTTCTGCAAGCTCCTCTTGAAGATTGTGTTTCTCCCTTGTGCAACCAGCCAACTTCAGTTTTAAGCTCTCTATCTCTTGCTCCAAGCTAGCTGTCCTAATAGTGTATTATCCAATGTCACTTAATATAATGTTTAGCAACGAGGCGCTTATTTTACATATCTATGAAGTGAAAGGAAAATAAAAGGTATCTTTCAATTGCTGAATTGAAGTCTAAGCAGGAAGTGGGATAGATAACAAGATACCTCTGGAAATGCATCCTAGTAGCAACACCAAGAATGCTAGGACCAGCTTGTTGCATGCACAACTGTTCAATATCTTTCTGTAGCTCATTACGCTCTGATAATAAATAAATAACATTATTACAGTCGTCAAACTCAAGTTATATCAGGTGATCAAGATGCAGATGAAACATGAAATCTCAAAAACCATAATATATAATATATTCGAACCAGCGTAACGCACAAACAGTAGATCTTTAGCAAGTGTAACAAATGATTTCTTCAAATGCTTCTTAGGCCAATCCTCTTGGCTAGAAAACTAGCTTATTCTAAGATTATAAGAAGAACACACAAATAAACAACTTAAAGGAATCATATTTTGCATATGAGAAGGCAGATTAGCTTTTCAAGTAAACAGATTAGACCAGAAGACACTAATGCGGCAGAATCTACTTCAAGAAGGCTACAGAGAAGAAAGTATAAGACTAGAACATGTCCAAGGTCTAAATAACTGAGACTTGTACTAAGCACTCCAATAGAAACTGCAGCAGAAGTTGAGAAAAACGTACCATGTTCAAGTTGTTTTATCCGATCCCTTAGGTTATCTTTCTCATCTAAATCATGATCCATATTTGATCTGCAGCAGATCAACACTTTGAAAGTAAATTTGCTTTCGAAAGAATTGGAGAGAGAGAGAATCCCAAAATTTACAGTTTTTAGCAGATGGGTACTTAGAAGAGACAGAAACCAAATCCCTAGCTAACCCAGAAATAAAAAATTATCTAAAGATCAAGGTGAAATCAGAATTCGGAACTCTACTATCTAAGCAAGAACATTTGGAAATTTGAATGGCAAGAACGGATTTAGGAAGACGAAATTCACAAGAAGAATGAGTCGAGAAGATTGAAAAACACGATCTGGGTTTGTCAAGTGTTTTTACCTACAACCAATAATTTCTTCGTCTAATTGACCAAAAATGGTTTCATCAGATTCTGTTCTCCGGATATTCTGTAATTTATCTGTGTCTCGCTACTTTCCCGTAGGATTGTAGAAAATACCAATAAACTTTTTTTTTTGGTACCAAATCTTTTTTTATTTACCCAATAAATTTCATTTTCTTACCTCTCCGTCAATACCAAATCCACTAATTAACCATTTAATCCAAATTCTTGAGAAGCCTGCAGGTTAACACGACTGCATTTCAGCAACATATACAATGTTCTAAGGCTATTATGTTGCCTATACCAATTTTTTAGTGTACGGTAAAATCAGGGAGGGACGTCTGAAACTCTAGAGCTCTTGTCCGAAAAAAAAAGAACTAGACCCCTAATCTAATTAATTTTTTTTGTATAGATAATTAAGTTATAGTAATTTCTCTAATTTCTAACTCTCAACTTATTATAACTCTAAATTCTTGAATCTTGAGATTATCTTAATATTATGCTTCAGATGGCTCAAACGGAAGACTAGAATCACCTTTTTGGGGTTTTGTAACTAAAAGCGTGTTTAATAGTGATTTTGGAGAAAATTGGTGAATAAATTGTTTGGTTCTCTCAATATATTTAGGGCATATGTAATAGAGAGTTTTATACAAGCTCTTAAAAATAAAAATAAAAGCACATAGGTGTCTTTGTGCGCAGACTACTGAACCTACTCTTCACTGATGTGGCGAGGCGTGATTAGTCGATTTTTTTTTCTTTGAAAATTAATTTTTTTTGAAAAAAATTAATTTTTTAATAATAAAAAAAATTAAAAGCTTTTTCAGCAGTTATGTTCTTATAAATCTTTGTGAAGAAATTGTTTGGTTTTCTCCCTGTAGAGAAATTGTTTAGCTTTCTCAGTTTCATCAGATAATTAGAGCACATAATTTTCTACTCCTCTCATGCTGGCCTATGGCTCCTAGGTCATTATCAAACAACATATAAACATCATGATCTACAAATATGATATTTTATCTTAGACTATCTCTAATGTATTTCTCTATTTTTTTACTCTAAAATAGAGTAATATTAAAATAAAGTTAAATTTTGCTCAAATATATATATCTTAAATTTTTCTTCGAAAAAAAAATATTCTAAATAAATTTTGTTTTTATTTTTAATGTCTTGTATTTCTAAAATTTACAAAGAAATCTTATTTATTTTGTTATTCATAATTTTTTATAATTTATGAAATAAATATTTATTAAATAAAGATTATTACATAATATTATAAGAACATAAGAAATTTTTATCTAAACAATTACCATTACTGAAATTTTCTCACAAATGATCAACTAATGCATTTCGAAGTGAAAATAAGTCTTTTATCTTTGATTTTTCTAAATCGAGCATAAAACTCTTGAAATTAGATATTATTATCATCTGCTGTTTAGACCTCTCGAAGTATACTTTCTCTTCAAACTCCAATTGGTGCTTCGAAATCACATGGATCTTCGATTATCATGTTATGATTAACCACATATGTAGTCATTATATCATGTAAAATATCTTTTTTTCCAAAAACAAACCACCCTTTTCACAGTACCAAAAACAAAAACTATCGCTTAACCCAAACCCAGTCCCATTAGATAACCTACATAAATTTTGGTAAATTTAGAATTAAAAAAAAACAGAAACTGATCGAAATAGAATTACGGTAATACTTTTGAAACTCGCGACTTCAACATGAACAATTTGCTTTTGTTGATTAATTTTTTAGGCTTTTAGTAGTATAAATATAACTCGGTAAACTAGTCTAATTTTCTTTCTTAGACATTTCTAAAAAAGCAACACTTGTTAACACTCGGTAGAACTGAATATGTGTTGAATGATTCGGAGAAGCAAACGACACTGCTGCAACCTTTGCAGATGTACTTTGGATAAAACATCTAATTTAGTTGTCGGAATAAAAGAAGAAAATCAATATCTTGATGAGGTGTTTTATCCACAAAGCGTTAGACAATGTATAAATGTTAAAGCATCTGCTAGCCCTGGGCAAAAAACCGAACCCAAAAACCCGAACCGGAACCGACCCAAAATAACTGGTTCGGACTGGGTTCGGTTATAAAATATTTACCCGATGGGTATTAAGTTTAGGAGCTGTGGGTACTAGATCGGTTCCAGTTCCTATCCGATACCTGATTGGTCAACCGAAATAAAAATATTTATATACTTAGAGTTTTGTAAAACGATTTTCCGACGAACCAGATGGACCCAGAGGTCGATATGCATACCGTTATGTAGGTCTCGCAGTCAGATATTCAGATATTCTTTCTGTTACTGATTGATTTATATTAAATCCGAAAATCAGTTTTTAAGTTGACGAAAAAATTCAGTATTTTGAGAAAATTTTAGTTTTTCGAGTATTTGATTACATTTCGGGTAGATGGTTACATATTCAACGATTTTGGGTCTAATCGGGTAAAAAAAACCGAACCGAATCAAAATTATTAAAAACCCGATTTTTCGGGTTTTAAACGGTTCTGTAATTTAAGAACTGATAGGAACCGAACCGAACCTGAACCGAAGTCTTTTTGGTACCTATACGGGTATAAAATTCCCTTACCCGAAAGAACCGGAACCGATTGGGTCGGACCCTAAACCGACCCGAATACCTGAATGCTCAGGGCTAGCATCTGCTTACTAGGAAAGGTAAAAGTTGGTTTGAGAATACCTGGAGTTTAAACATTTTTTCCATATGCAAAAGGACAAAAACCACAAGCTATTTCTTCTTCGAACAGTGTGTATTAAAAAGAAAAAGGAAGCTTGGCTTGTCTTATATGGCGTTCCATCCGTGCGTCAGATTGGATTGCGTTTCTTCAGCTTTGCCATCAACTGGCTTGCCTAAGGCTCCTCCGTGTTGTTGATCCCTTTGTTTGTTATTTTCTCTTTGGTCTCATGGCGGCTGGTGTTTTTTCTCTAGAAATGGGTTATGGTTATAAATTGTATGAGCCTGCGAGTCTACTACTGGTCGTCGCTGGTGTGGAGAAGTTGAGGGCTGTTGGGTTTAGACCATGCCTCCCAAACCTTCCTTGCGGATTTGCCATTGGGTGGGTGTATGCTCATGATGTGTTGGCTTTGAGCTCGGCTCTCTGTTGTAGCATCTCGAGGGTTTTGTCTTGTTCCTCTGTTTTGTTCACCAGTGACGCCAACATCTCTATCATCTCGGCTAGGGCCATTGAGATTGCCTCCGTCTGCAGCTGCGGGTGCTGGACTACGTTAGTTGTTGCGGCTCCATTGGTTAGACCTCTCCTGGTGTTGTCTGTGTCTTGTTTTCCAGTGGACATCTCTTTAGATCCTGCGTCTCGCGGTTCGTGAGTGTAAGAAAACTTATAATCTCCCTCCTTCTAGCGCCAAATTCTGTGAGTAGGAATTCACACAATAGATTTCTTTTAGGAAAAAAAAAAAGAGAACTGAAGTTTCTAATTAAAACACGAATACAAAGATCCAAAGATGGTGAGCTTTTGGTACAAGAAATGATGAGTATTTTACTAAATGCTTTTGCTAGGTTTTTGGCCGTCTCTTTACAAATGAAATAAATTATATTTTGTAGATTCTTCTTCCTTTTCTTCTCTGTGGCGCCCCCTTCTACAAGATTGTATCTTCTTAGGGCACATCTTGCTCTAAACTTCTTCATGGGCTTACGGTTCGACCAATTCAATTGTATGTTTCATCTTGGGCTTCTCGTATTATCGCCTAGGCCTTTTCAAGAAATCATTCTACCGGTTTGGTTCAGTTTACTTCCTTTGTCTGGTTTGGCTTGGTTCAAAGGACCTTTCGAGATTTTGCTCGGTTTGGTGATATCGCTGGTCTGGCTTGGTTTAACTCTCCCTTGCTTTAGCTTAGTTTAACTCTCCCATGGTTTGGCTCGGTTTAACACTCCCTTGGTTCAGCTTGGTTTAAATCTCCCTTGGTTTGACTCGGCTTGACGACATCTCTGGTTTGGCAACATCTCCAATTCAGCTTGTTGCCTCCCTGTGTTGTCAGCTAAGCCATTTTCCATATATAGTCGTTTTTCTTGATTGATCTTATCGGAGAGAAAACTGACCCTAACAAATACGAATCAATATGAATCACATATCATATATGCATATATATAGAACATCAATAAGTGAACACATAAACCTTAAAAAGAAAAACCATAAAAATCTTAAAGAAAACAAAACAAACCACCAAAATCATAGTAAAATAGTTTTTTTCTAAATCAAATATGTATGTATATCGAAGTTGGATAATTCGACAGTTATAAGTACTATTATTTTACTTAATAAGATATATAAACAAAAAATAGGAGAAAACTTTATATTATATTTTAAATTCTTTTACATAAAATAAATCGTTTATAAATAGATTATAGTTTTGATAATTTAGAAAAATATTAAACCAAAAAATGAATTTAACCAAACTATTAATACAGATCTGCATGTAGCGTGGATCAAAATCTAGTTTTTAATTATACAATTGATTATACAACATCTATATAACTTATATGGTTTTATATAAAGACACTTATATGATTTATAAAATTTATTATTTATGGCAGAAGAAATATAGATTATATTATTAATATTTGACTATTTGTTTTTGCTATGAACGTTGATATCATATCATATAAAATGAAAAGTTGAAGGATTTTAAGATATACTCTTCCTCGGAAAAAAAAAACAAGGAAAGTATTACAAAGATAATTCGTATCGAAGATGCCATCACCTGAATTGCATTAAGTTTTCAAAATGCTGCCAATGAGTAAAGATTGCTACTCCCCTTGAAACAAGACATATTATTATTGGAAGTCTGTTGAAAGTATATTTTGGGATGCAACCTATGAACTAAACCATTTTAACTCATATCTTCTAGTCTTCATTGGGTCTCAGAGCTTCCCAAGTTTTTAAAGATGGGAATTCTCATTGTTAGGTGCAAATTAATATCTAGCTAAGCTTCTGATCTTGGAAAAGGAATTCTCCAACCTTCAATTATACAAGCATCATCCACTTTCGAATCTATGGGAATCCTTAGGTTTAGGGGACCATTTCGACCAAGGTGCATGATTAGAGAGCCAAGCTGAGTCCATGGATCAAACTAAAAGTTGACTGATACAAGAGTTTTTAGGACTTGACTCAATCACCCAAGCTTGTACTAATCAGTTGTA